TAGTAGGTGCCTGCTCTTGTACCCCCTTATTTAGTGCAGTGTCATTTTTTAGGGGCACTGCCCCATTATTCCTTCAAACAAAGTTCACATAGAGATTTTTCTTAACCCTTTCAGTGGGACTGATGCACCTATAGTGTACACTGATGATCAACGGTCTCTCATGGGTTTTTGGTCTTATTTTGCATCAGTTTTGTGGTGTATGTCTGGAGGAAACACCTTGCAAAAAAAAAAAAAATTCTCGAAGCCAGTAAACTGTGTATATGGTGTCTTTTTTTCCTATTAAAGTTTAAAGACTGTCAAATGATTTCATGTAAAGTAACAAAATATCCTGATTGTTCTGCCTTTCAATTTGTTTTATGTTTTATTTCAGTGAGAGTTAATAATTTTCCAAAGTAATTATCAGTTTCTTTGGTATGACATATTTTTAGATATTGGTAATTTGAGTGATTTAATTTATAGTAAGATATCTAGAGCTGATATGTTTCATATTTCAGATCATATTAGTGAAAACTAATAGGGTTAAGCTCTGGGAGAAAACATGAAAAGGAGACTACATTAATTCAATAAAACATTGTAATATATTCCAGAAAATTCCTACCTGCAGTTTTGTATGTTTCCCACTAACCCAAGCCCTAACCATAAATGTACTATAATGAGATTTGGGATCACGGTCTCTGCAACTCTCTTCCCAAAAAGGAGAGAGCTGAAGCAAATATATTTTCCAGGTCTGCGCAACATGAGGTCTCAAAGATTCCCTTTGCCATATGAAAGATAGAGTAATTCAGAGGAATGAGAACTATAGATCAAACATATATAATAGCTATGTCTAACATTAGTGAAACATACATGGTTACAAGGAGGTACAGATTTGAGGAGCACACTAAAAAACAACCTTCCAAGATAAGGTTTGGCTTTTGATTACCACCCAATAAATAAGATACCTTTTATATGACAAATGAATAACTTAATCCTGGATGTGATGTTAGATTGACCTTTATATTTTTAGAACTTAATTTTTGACATGAGTAATATCTGTTGTCAGAAGTACAGAATACATTTCTTTTAGAATATGGATAGAGTTTTAGGTAATTATACAATAGCATTTTGCATTTATGATCATTTTAATTCCATAATAAATCAATTTCTTAATAAAACAACATTTGTGTGCCTGGCCATTATTATAAAATTAAAATTATGACTAGCTAATAAATGTCATTTGCCAGATTTTATTGCCGTATTTATGGGTAAATTCACAAAGATCCAATTAGAGGGCTGTAGTTTTATCTGAATTTCTAAAATTATTTGAAACTCCCTGTTAATAGGTGCATATTCATACTTATTATAAGACTTCTTGGTATAACATGTTAATTACCTTGCTGCACTTTGGCTCCCAAGCCACAATGAATCATACTATTATAAAAGCAAAGCATTGCAAACATCAAACAGCATCTATCTTTGAGATGCTTCTATTAGAGATGCCTCTAATAGTGATGGGAAATCTTTGATGTTATCAGAAATTATGGAAAATGCACATTCAATCGTATTTGAGTAAATCTTATAGACCATAGCTTTTCCCTCATCCTTAAATAACCTGGCAACAATTTCAAGTTCCCAAGTGCTCTTCAAAGCAGGCCCACCTTGGAAGTTATGCTGATGGCATTTCCAATTTCAAAGCAGCTTGCTTTTCCCATCTCCAGGCTTCAAACCAATTTGAAATTTTACTTTCAAAGTGAAAAGATATTACCTACTTTTACCCTAACAACTAGTCAACATTTTAATGAATAAAATGTCATAGGTAATGAACTTTCCTATGGTAATGAAGAGATAGTATGTAACAAATTAGTTCAGTATGAATAATGTAGTTTATTCCTGAGAATTCTAAGTGATAAATGTCTGGATATCTCAAGTCTCAGTCTTCCTTCTTCTAAAGGGGAGTGTCTGTGAAACTGAAGACAAAATGAGTATGTGCAAGACTCAAGTGCCCACAGGGGTTCATGACCTTGACATTATGTATAATTCCTGCAAAAGCAGGGTGGGTCTGTGGTGTCTTAAAAGACTTCAGAGTTGTGGGAGTAGAAATATGCATGAGCCTAGTTTGACTAAAAGATGCAGTATCCTTAGTGAAGATCCCCTAGTGTTAAATTAGCTTGCCAATAATTGCTTCAAGTAAAAGGGGGAGTGAAACTTGAAATTATCATCTTGGGACACAAAATATTTATTCGAATATGGTTTTAATATCCTGAGCCCATTTGTGGCTACTCTGCACTTTAAAAATTGCCATTATAATTATAAGGGAATACACATTACAAGTTTGTCAACACTTTGGTGACTGTAAATTTATTGCAACTACTTTTAAAGGAAGAATTTTGTTTCCAGTATCTGAATTTCTGCATGAAAAGAGAGGTATAATCAAGTAAAACAGTCAAAAGCATTAAATAGCAGAAAGTGAATAAAAAGAAAAGTGGAGGAGGGGAGGGACATTGCTCTATCTTTGTATGGATTTTAGACATTAGAAAAATGAAAATAGTTAAAATCAGATAGGAAAATGATAACTCTAAGTAGGAATCAGTAAAGAAGGAAAGTAACACTGTGTTTATAAGTTAGGATGTTTGCTGTCGAGAATGTTTTCTTAACTGTACTAAAATTTCTTATTCAACAAGTATGGAGTAGGGCCCAATCATTCCAATTTCCACCAAGGTCATGATCATGGAGGTGTGCTAGAGACCACACTTTGAGAACCATTGCTCTACAAGACCCTGTAAACTGCTCACTTTCTTGTTTCTAGCTTCAGCTCATGCTCTTCTTCACTGTGTCCTGGGTTCAGTGCTTTTTTGGGTTCTCAATGCCTTCATTTTCTTTTCAGCTTCTTCCTATATGTCCTGCCCCTCTACCTATATTTATTCAAGCTAACTCATATTGGATTATTCATGCTAATTGGGTTACCTTGTTATTGAGTCTCATTGCCCCTATACATCTCCTTTGCAGCATTGAGCACAGTTGTAATTAAATAATGCATTGTATAGTGTGTAGTTCATATATGCTCTCCTCACATTAATATAAGTTTATAGTGGGCAATGACTGACTTACCAGAGTTTCAGAAGTATCTAGTGTAATATCTTTTACATAATTGATATAAAATAAATATTTGCCCAGTACAAAGAAAATATTTAATCTTCCTTACTCTATTCACACATGACCCAGAACACCAGATCCAGAACAAATTTTTCTAGTTCTAAGGGTGTCTAGTTAGTTTTTTCAATGTAAATTCCTTTCTGTAAGTGTATACATTCAATCTTCAGTGTAGTACATAGATGGCTTACTATCTTATTCGGATGATCTTCTTCCTCTGAACAAAAAGGCGCAATGCAGACTAGATCTTGAAATAAGCTTTCATACTTCAAGATAAATACATCTAAAATAATAACCCCAAAATCTTAGTTCAACATTTTTTTTATTTAAGGTAACTTAAAAATTCCAATTATTGGATTGATATTTTTAAGCTGGAGTTCATTTTATCTTTAATAGAATTCTGGTTACATTGAATTGTAGAGGAAACATTTTGTTTTCACGTTATTATGCATGAAACCAAAGTCACATATTCTTTGGGAAGATTAACATGTTTCTTAACTAAGGCCAATAATTCCTTGAAAAAAAATTATTATAACAACTAAAACATAGCTAAGTTAAAGTATCAGAATTGTACATTGATTTATTCATTGTAACCTAAGTTCAAATAACCAAAAATAAAATAGTTTTGGGCTTTTCAGATTATAGCCTTATATATAAACTATGTGCATTATATAATTTACATATATCTATACATATGTATATATAGTTTATATATACTGTGTGTATAGTATACATGTGCATAATATGCTTATGATTACTGTCTTAGGTCATTATCTCTTATTTTAGGTTAAGAGTTAAGAAGATTCCGTTATTATAAATCTATGTACAGCATATTGTGAACTCTGTATAGGTGTGAACAGCACTGACTGATATAATAAAACATCTATTATTAATATATATATAACAGATATATATGTATGATTGTTGTTTTACGTCTGCCTCATTTCATGTGAAGAATTAGGAAAATTTAGTCATTATAAAGCTATGTACAGCACACAGCTGTATAATTGTATAATCACAAACTTGTATAATTGAGGTGGAATTCTTAGAAGATGTGAAAATAAAGTTCATACTTGAGTATGCAGTAGGAGATAATTTGGTGAAGGGTGAATACTAGTCAGACTTTATGGGGAAAGGCTTTATTGTGAAGGGATAAATATTATCCATTTTAATCTTCTGATAAATCCAGGATATTTGAGAGCTTGTTCTGAGGTTCTAGCCGGGAGTCCAGCTTATACCCTTGATAGAAGAACTGTCCAGTCCATATCTGGGGAACGCCATCCTCTTAGATCCAGCATTCAACTTCAGGAGGGACGCACATGGTGTGGTGAGGGAGGAGGGGGACACCAGCCTACCCAGCCAGGTCAGCTGAGTCAACCCTAGCGACCAATGGGGTGACAGATGTCACAGCCAAATGGCCCTCACATGCTTCAACAGATTTGAAATAGCAAATAAGTGAATGTAAAAGGTGTGAATCAAGCCAAAGGTAAATCAGAAACATGAAAGATATTTGTTATGCTGAACAATAGCATTAAGAATTGTCACTGTGTCGGCCCACTGTGATGGCCTGAGTTCGATCCCCAACCAGGGAGCAACCCACATGGCACAGCAGACCTCTCCTCTCTCACCTGTTGTTCCCTTCAGCATTGTATTTCAGTGAATCCACTTGTTCTGCTCCCCGCTCTGTCTCTGGTAAGTCCTCTCACTCCCCACACCTCTGGCCTACACCCCAGTTCTTCTATGCAAAAATAAATAAAATCTTAAAAACAAACAAGCAAGCAGAAAGAATAGTGACTGTGTGGGAAGCATGGCATGGCACTTTATGTGTCATTTCTATGTCTTCTAACCTACACCCTCCCTTCTCTTGGCAGGTCTCATTGTCCGGGAAGTAAGCATTGAGATTTCACGCCAGCAAGTCGAAGAACTTTTTGGACCTGAAGATTATTGGTGCCAGTGTGTGGCCTGGAGCTCCGCAGGCACCACAAAGAGTCGGAAGGCCTACGTGCGCATCGCATGTGAGTCACCACAGTACATCTGGATGTGGGAAGTTAAAGCGATATAGGGATTTCTGAACTGCTAGTGTTACAGTTCAAAGAAACTAGTCAACACCTGCTTCAGGATTTCTCCATTGGAGATACCCTTTGCCCTTAAGTCATTCACCAGAACATCAATGTATTTATTTTAAGGGACTGTGCAGTTTTCCTTTAAGGTGTGAAAGATTTAGTGCTATTTTCAAAAGTTTCTGAATTGGAAAAAAAAAAGTGGTAGTAACTAGGCTATAGGAAAACCAGCTATATTCCTTTAATGAGTTTATTCTACCAATTTGTTAAGACAATGGTGACTAATTTTGCTACTAGAAATAAAAATTGGAACCACTCTAGTGCATCAAAAATGCACCAACATTTTCTAAGTTGTGTTAATTTCTAGAGTATTCATATTCAGAGAGAAGCTGAATGGTGACTCACAAAAAAAAAAAAAAGTTGCCATAATCAATATGGTAAATACTTTTCTGGATAAAGCTAACGAGGATTCTTCATTACAAAACTTCTTCGATTCATTAATATACTGATGCATATGCCAGTTAACCCACAGGCAGTAAGATGCAGCCTGAAGCTGTTCCTGTATACCCCTTTTCGCACTACTTGCATCTTGGAGAGTTGACTGCTGTTATAATCTAGCTTAAGTCTCCATTCTGAGAATTTTTCTCAAATGTGAGACCACTGAAATCCATGTAATCCATTTCTTATCTGAAGCCCTTTGCATATCCACATTTCACTAATTCACATTTTGTGGCAAATGTCAATACCACTTGCCTTCAATATATCACTAAGTCCCAAAAGCCCTGACTCTGATGCCTATTATAATTCTATACTTACCTCTTTCTTCCCTTCTCCTAGAATAGATCCCACTCATAGCAAGTACTTTTTAGTTTATGTCTATGGCTCAAGTCTTGTCCTTATTCTAACCCTTCCTCTTTGTTACCACAAATGCAGTCTTCCTAAAATTAATAGATTACCCCAGTTCACTTCTACTTACAACTCTAGTCAAATGCATATAATCACAATATAAATATATTGAGGGTGGCAGAGTCCACATCCTAACAACATAAGCATATAATTTATTTGGCAGCAAAAGGGAGAAGGTAACAAACCTCTTGGCAATGTTCAGCACACTGGCATGCAGAGTGGGCTGCACCAGTCTGGAGATTTCCTGGAATCCATCCATCTGCAGGCAGGAGACTCGCCGCTTCTCAGCATGAGAGTCCCCGAGAGCACTCTAATACCTCGGAGAAGCCTTCAGGATTATGGGCATGGGCTCCTTAAGCATCACATATTGCCTCAACTTTATTATCAGAAATACTTATTAAATCTTAATTTAAATAAAGCCTCTCTATCCAGCTAGTTTTTATCTGTCTTTGCCTTTGCATGTCTGTCTTATCAGCATCTTCATAAATAAATGCTTGCTTTTGAATTGATAAATAATTGCTCTATTTCAATTGCTCCATGTGTGATAGGTGGGGACTTTGGAATGTTTTCAACAGTGGAATTCATTATCTGACTTCCTTTTTAGCAGAATCACCTAGATGCTGTGTTGATAATAGATGGTCAGGGGGAAGGGAAGGGACAGGAGGACTAGTTTGGAGTCTGCTGCTGTAACAACCATTTAGGTTAGCATAGACTGAAAGCAGTGGAAGTGGAGAGAACTGGATTCCAGATACATTTAAAGGCAGATGAATTGCTATTGTTGAGAGAATGGATGTGGGATGTGATAGAGGAGAGAATGATTCAAAAGGCCTGAACCCTTTGGAAGACTGTGTTCAAAATCCCTTATGAAATTGTTCTGCATCATGAGTTGAGGGATCCTCATTCTTTTCAGAGCAGTCTGTCCATATTCTTAATAGGCTGTTAAGAATTTAAATTATATTTTAATTATATTCACCTATTGTAGTAATTGTTTAAATTATATTCACCTATTGTAGTATCTGTGTTTCACACCAGTGAGCACTTGAGATCAAGAATTGTAGAGGTGTGAAACTGTACTTTTAAACACAGTGCTATAAGCCAATGTTAGCTCAATAAACATAATTTTTTAAAAACCAAAATCTTGCACTAAACAGTTAAAAACCTTCTGTTTTACTTAACTTTGAATCTTTAGTGCTTAGTACAATGCCTAGAATATCATAGATGTTTAATTAATTTATGTCAAATTAAAGTCATTATAAAGAATTCCTGGGGACGTTTATTATAGTGTTCTACATTAATCTTTTCTTTCCAAGCATGTCTGAAGAGATTTTTCTTTTTACAAAAAAAGTTATTAAAAAATAGAGATTTTCTTTTCCTAAGTGAATATTCCATGAAATCAACACTGACATATATAGACCTGCACTAAAAGAGTAATTTAAGAGCAGTGTCTACAGAAGTATAAAGGTGGTAGCATTGGGCAAAGGCAGAAACTGAGTCACAGTACAGATATGACAAAGGGTGATTCAATAGGGAGCCAAAGACCCATACTGCCTTTCAGAGCATTCTGATCTGGGGGATGTGGACTGCTCCTTTATGCTGGTGACCTGGGTGACCTGGGTTGGTGACATGGTGACCTGGGTCAAGTCAGTTCTCCTTTAATAGGGCAATTTCAGGAGATTGAAACTGAGTCTTCCCCACCACCACTCCCAACAGATGGGATCAGTCCACAAAGGGGATCTCGTACATACCTCAGTATCCATCATGATATTCTACCACAAATCTTGAAGAATTTGTTTGATTATTTATCACGGACAACAAATTCTTCCCATCAATTCAATTTAAAACAAAACAGCAGTTGTTTTGTTTTTTTTTTTTTTTTTATAAATTTTATTGTTATATTCCCCATACAATTGCAGCCCCCCCATTCTGACCCCAATCCCTCCCCTCCCGCCCCCGCCCCCCTAAAATTGTCTCTGGTTCATAGTTTTTTGTTGATTTTGATTTTCACTTTCTTATAGTTATTCATTTTCCTGGTCCCTTATTTAAGTTTTCTAGATTCCTGCTATGAGTGAGACCATCCGGTATTTTTCTTTTTCTTTTTGGCTTATTTCGCTGAGCATGATCCCTTCCAGCGCCATCCATGTTGCTGCAAATTGCATGTGTTTATCTTTTTTGAATGCTGAGTAATATTCCATGGTATATATGTACCACATCTTCTTGATCCAGTCATCTATTTTTGGGCATTTGGGTTGTTTCCAAAGCTTAGCTATTGTAAACAGTGCTGCTATAAACATAGGGGTGCAGGTGTTCTTTGGAATTGATGTTTCTGTGTCCTTTGGGTAAATACCTAGGAGTGGAATTGCTGGATCATATGGAAGCTCTATGTTTAGTAGGTCCAGAAATCTCCACACAGCTCTCCACAGTGGTTGGACCAGTTTGCACTCCCACCAACAGTGCAGAAGAGTTCCTTTTTCTCCACACCCTCGCCAGCATTTGTTGTTGCTAGTTTTTTTAATATGTGCCATTCTCACTGGTGTAAGATGGTATCTCATGGTAGTTTTGATTTGCATTTCCCTGATGGCAAGTGATGTTGAACTTTTTTTCATATGCCTGTTGGCCATTTGCATTTCCTCTTCAGAGAAGTTTCTTTTAGCTCTTGTGCCCATTTTTTGACTGGATTATTTTCTTTGTTGTTGCTGAGTCTCATCAGCTCTTTGCAGATTTTTGTGATCAGTCCTTTATCATTAGTGTTGGGTGCAAAAATGTTCTCCCAGTTGGTGGGGTTTCTCTTTGTTTTTGTTATTGTCTCTTTTGCTGTGCAGAAGCTCTTTAATTTGATGTAGACCCAGCTGTTTATCTTTGCCTTCACTATCACTGCTTTGGGTGATGTGTCTGTAAAGATGTCTTTGATGTGCAGATCACGTAGTGTTTCGCCTATATTTCCTTCTATATATTTTATGGTTTCAGGTCTTATGTCTAGTTCTTTAATCCATTTTGAGTTGATTTTTGTGTATGGTGTGAGGTAGTGGTCAAGCTTCATTCTTTGCATGTAGCGACCCAGTTTTCCAGCACCATTTATTGAACAAACTTTCTTTGCTCCAATGCATAGTCTTTGCTCCTTTGTCAAAGATTAGTTGACCATAAATCTGTGGATTTATTTCTGGATTTTCTATTCGATTCCATTGGTCTGTATGTCTGTTCTTGTTCCAATACCATGCAGTTTTGATGATTATGGCTTTGTAGTATAGTTTGAAGTCTGGGAGTGTAATGCCTCCATTCCCTTCTTTTTTTTTTCAGGAGAGCTTTGGCTATTCGGGGTTTTTTGTGATTCCATATGAATTTCATCAATAATTGTTCTATTTCTTTGAAGAATGACTTTGAAATTTTGATTGGAATAGCATTGAATCTGTATATTGCTTTTGGAAGGATGGCCATTTTAATAATGTTTATTCTTCCAATCCACGAGCAGGGGATGTCTCTCCATTTCTTTGTGTCTTCTTCTATTTCTTTAACAGTGTTTTATAGTTTTCTTTGTATAGGTCCTTTATCTCTTTTGTTAGATTTATTCCCAAATATTTGATTTTTTTGTTTCGATAACAAAAGGGATGGTTTTTTTTATTTCTTCTTCTTCAGATTTATTGTTTGTGTATAGGAAGGCTACTGACTTTTGCATGTTGATTTTGTATCCTGCCACTTTACTGAACTGATTGATGAGTTGAATTAGCTTTTCTGTGGAGTTTTTGGGGTTCTCTATGTATAATATCATATCGTCTGCAAATAGTGATAGTTTGACTTCTTCTTTTCCTATTTGGATTCCTTGGATGTCTTTCTCTTGTCTTATTGCCCTGGCTAGGACTTCCAGTATTATATTGAAAAGCAGTGGTGAGAGTGGACATCCTTGTCTTGTTCCAGACCTTAATGGAATTGCTTTCAGCTTTTCACCATTGAGAATGATGCTGGCTGTTGGCTTGTCATAGATGGCCTTTATGATGTTGAGGTATGTTCCTTGTATCCAAGAATTTCAAGGGATTTTATCATGAATGGGTGTTGCA